TTTTTTTTTTTTTTAAGATAGACTCTCTCTAGATAGACCAGACTGCCCATGAACTCAGCATGGTGTGCAAGCTGGCTTTGAAGCCATATTCCTCCCACTTTATCCCCTGGAAAATTGGAATTTCACACATGTACTGCCACACATAGCTCTCAGGTGATTTCTGTATTTGCTAAAGTTTGAAAATCACTGTGAGGGCATTTCAGGGAAAGGGATAGTGGTTGAATCAATCAGAGCCACTTCCTGGCATGCTATGTACCAAGTTAGATTTTGAAACACAAAAGGGTATTATCAAGATGTCAAGAAGAAAGGAAGTTTAGGAAGAAAACCACCAGGAACAAAAGCTGGTGCTGTGAATGAGCAGAATGGATCTGATGAAGAGCAAGCACAGAGAGTTGGCAAAGGTGCACATGCTGCTTAGAAGGAAACACAAAGGTGGCGTGAGACATGAGTCTGTGACAAAATCACAGTGGTGGTGTGAGACTTGAGTCTGTGATGCTTTCTGTGCTGTGCTGAAATCTTGCTTACAATACTGAATTTGCAAACAGTAAATTCTCAAAAAATCCCACTAAAAATTCTTAAGTAGAAAAGATGAAATAGTCACTTGGGTAACTTTTTCCAGCTTCAAATTAGAAAAAAAATAGAGCAGGAAGATACTGTGAGCAAGGGTTTGGACAGCATTTTCAACTGCCATAAAACTGTGCACACTGTACCTTCAAGCTTTTGGATGCGTGCAGCCCTGATATCAAGAAGATGAACATATTGTTCCACTTTGAGTTCATAATCTTGCTGCAAATTTTCCATCTTCTGAGTCACTGCCTCAACTTCCATCTAAAAATAAGAGACACAGAGATTCACTACTTATGATTATCCTATTTGCATCTGTCAAAGCGACTTTGAGCCAAACATTTTAAGATGGGGCTTTAAAGCTGCCATGCTAGGATTCAAACATTTCCTAGATGGAATTTAAGGCTACCATGTTATGAATCAAACACTTCTAGTTGCAGTTTTGAAAATTATGATGATTTTAACATCTTTTGGATGGCTAGCAGGAGCTCTAAAGCATGGTGCCCTCCTGTCACATGGCTTCCAGTGCAGTGGCTTCCTTTTTTGCAGCCAGATCCTCCACGTTATTGAAAGCTGACATGGACAGCTGTGGCAGGGCTTTTGGATGATCACTATGACTCACTGCAGACTACAATGACACTACTAGAAGTGAGACCACTGCCACTAGGCACTTCCCTAAGCTTAAGGCTTTAATCACCTGTTTTTAAACTATTTATCCTCACTCTCTAGTTATAGGGCTAAATTCCAGGAATGTATTAATATTTAATAATAGGTGACAATAGATAATAAAAGAAGATAAATACAAAAAGCTGCTTTGAAAAGACAATCATCAGTAGAGTATCACAGAAATTATACCGTCTCAATTTAGTGTCTGACAATACCTGATAGTCTTTATTGATTTTATGTTGCATAATTAGCATATTTCTTGTCTTTTCAAGTTCTTGTACTGTTTCTGCATGAGTTGCTTGAAGCTCTTTTATGGAATGTTCTAGATCTTTATTAATTTTGCTGTCCACTTTTTCTAAAAATGAAAGGTCTCCATTTTTTTGTTCTTTCTGAGACTAAAATGAAACCATAATTTTTAATTGAAACAAGAATTTGCAGAATGTGACCATATGAATTAATGAGATACATCAAGAAACACTTAGTAGAATTCATTCACTTTCATTTTTCGACTAGAAACAAAGCAGTGTTAATAAATACATTTGCATAGATATTTGAAACAATTACAGGAATATAAAGTTTATCAATTTCACAACAAAAATGAGATCACATTTATTTTTTTCATCTGATCAAAATATACACTATGATATAAACATAAGAAGTGTACCTGTAGTATCTCAAAACTAGACAATACCTTTGTATTATATTTATGGTTCAATACCTCACTTCAGAAGGCAAGCTTGATTTTACAGTGGGTCAGGTAAAAATACAGTGTTGTAGTCCAAGGGCTTTAAATAAGAGTGCTGAGCTCTCCCTTAATGTGACTTTGATGTCACTATGAAATATGAATATGCTGTAACTAAAATGTCATCTAACCATTTCCCGAATCAGTATATTACTGTGCTCTCTCTCCTCCCCTTCCCCTGCAATTACATGCATGCACTAAGATGCAGTGAGTTTCAGAAGATGCACAAGTAATTCACTGTCTACACATAAGGATTATAGGCAAAGTCATCATTACATTGAAATAGGAAGACATGGAACTGATGGCTACTTTTTAAAATGCTACCTTTATAAGCAAGAGAGCTTCACTCAGGTCATCAGGATTAATGTCACTCTCCTGGAAGACAGAAAGTCAAAGCTCACAGTGAGGAATTACTTTCCAGCACAGATTCTCACTAGATTATCTATGAGAACACAAGGCACCTGGAGGCTATGAATTTAAGAAACAAAGTACTGAAGACATTTCAACTACTTAGAATCGCCTCAGAGAACATAAGCAACCAGATGTGTTAGCTAATGAACCAAGTGACACATCTGTGTTTCTTCCTTTGTTTGTGCTTAAGACACACACACACACACACACACACACACACAC